GAGTGCCTACAAAATCAGTTACTACCACTCCATATGAGTTATGGACTGGAAGACAACCCGACCTAAGTGTATTAAGACCTTGGGGTTGTGCTGCCTATACACATGATTCCTCTCACAAATATGGCAAATTGGGCCCGAGGGGAAAGAAAAGTATCTTTATAAGATACTCTGAAACCTCAAAGGGTTATGTGTTTATAGGTCAGCAAGACAGTGGGAGCGTAACTGAGTTTGAATCACGGGATGTCACATTCTTAGAGGATGAGTTCCCTAAGAAGGGAGAGGTAGGTCAAGACCTAACCTTATTTGAGATAATGGATCAAGAAGTACAAGGATCACTTAATTCGAGTGGGAGAATTTTAGCAGATGATGAATTAGTTTCTCATCAAAGACCTCCTTCATCATCAGATGCGAATGAAAGTAATCCTTCTACTTTTAGTGGAAGTGACCAAATGGATCTTGTTCCAAGTGGGAGCGAGATGGTCACAGATCTTGTTCCAAGTGGGAGCAGGATGAATGATCTTGATCCGAGTGGGAGCAACATTGATCCAAATGGGAACAATGATGAATCACAAGTAAGACGTGGTTCTCGTAAAAAGATTCCCCGCCGACGATTTGATGTTGAAGGCGGAGAACTATTTATGATGCTCCTACAAGAAGAAAATGAGCCTAAAAATGTAAAAGAGGCTCTCTCATGCCCTTCTAAGGATAAATGGACAAAAGCAATGGAGGATGAATTGGAGTCTATGAGAGTCAACAAAGTTTGGGAACTAGTTGACCTCCCTGAAGGACGCAAAGCAATTGGGAGCAAATGGGTTCTCAAAATTAAGCTCAAGGCTGATGGCACAGTTGAGAGATTTAAGGCTCGACTGGTGGCGAAAGGGTATACACAGCAGAAAGGAATAGACTGCGAAGAGACTTTCTTGCCTGCTATACGATTTACCTCGGTTCGCCTGGTTCTAGCTATTGTTCCAAGCCTGGATCTTGAATTACATCAGATGGATGTAAAGACTGCCTTTCTCAATGGAGAACTAGATGAAGAAATCTATATGGAACAACCTGAGTGTTTTATTGAAAAGGGCCACAAACAAAAGGTTTGTAGACTTTTGAAGTCTATTTATGGCCTCAAAACAATCTTCAAGGCAGTGGTATATACGCTTTCAAAATGTTCTTGTATCCAATGGTTTTACCATGATGGATGAAGACCATTGCGTTTATACCAAGAGATCAAGAAACAAGCTTGTGATTTTAACATTGTATGTAGATGACATACTTATAGCTGGAAATGATAAGGAGTTTATAACCGAGATAAAGTCATGGTTATCATCCCAATTTGAGATGAAAGATATGGGTGAAGCTGCATATATTCGTGGAGTTAAGATTTCAAGAGATCGTCCAAAGAAATTATTGTATTTCTCACAAGAAAATTACATTAGAAAAGTTCTTGAACGATTTAATATGCAAAATAGTAGCCCAGTTGAAACCCCTATCAGTAAAGGCCATACCTTGGGAAGTCAGATGTGTCCTAAGACTCCTGAAGAGACAGAAAGAATGAGCCGAGTTCCTTATTGGAGTGCAGTCGGAAGTCTAATGTATGCTATGGTGTGCACTAGACCTGATATTTGTCAAGCAGTTGGCTTGGTAAGTAGATATCAGACCGACCCAGGTTTAGCATATTGGCAAGCAGTAAAGAGGATCATGAGATATTTGAAGGGAACTGCTGATTATGCCCTTTGTTATCAAGGCGGCAAGGATCTGCGATTAGTTGGATACAGTGATGCTGACCATGGAAGAGATCTAGACGAGAGGAAGTCTACCTCAGGATATGTTTTCTTACTCAGTGATGGGGCCATATCATGGAGTAGTAAGAAACAATCATGTGTATCACTATCTACAATGGAAGCCGAATACGTGGATCTCGCATCAGCAACACAAGAAGCTGTTTGGTTGAAAAAGTTCTTGGAGCACTTGTTGGATATTGTTGAAAATACTGAACCAGTATTAGTCTACTGTGACAGTGAGGCTGCAATATCCTCCACCAAGGACCCAAAGTTTCATTGTAAAACCAAACATATAGATATCAAGTATAACTGTGCGAGAGACATGGTTAGACGCAAGGTATTGCGTGTGAAGTATGTGTCTACAAAAGATATGTTAGCAGATCCATTGACCAAGCCTTTGTCTAGAGATGCATTTGTGAGACACACTAGGTCTCAAGGCTTACGTAGACTCTGAGATACTTTATTTTGTTATTATCTCCCGTCTTCTCAAACTGATGTTCTTTGATTATCAATAAAGTTGATTTACATACATACATATTTTTATTATTGAATGTTATGTACATTCTTTGTTTTTTTTTATAAGTATGTCGAGTAGACATGAGGTTGGCCTTCTCACATAGGAAACCGCCTCCTTATCTTAGTGATGTGAGGAGATGAGACATGATTTTAAGCAAAATTATCATAAGGATAATTTGAGAGCTATTCGCTTAAAATCAGAATGTCTCTTAAACAATGACATAAGGTCATTAGGGTGAAAAACGTTCACCTAGTCTACTTTGTGAGCCAGATGCGAGTTAAAAATGATATTGTAGATCAAAGAACTCAAATTTAGATACATATGGTGTCTAAATATCATCTGTAAAACATTCTTTATGAGATAAAGACATACGCTCCTTGGGAAAAAGGAGAAAATGTTGTAGCACATGTTTCATACCATGTGTGCTAATGTCGACCAATTGGGTTAATATAAGTCCATTCTCAACTTATTGTTGTGTGAGACCCAGAGCTTTTATGATAGCTCAAGATTTTGTACCCTTAGAGACTCTGATCAGATACTTGAGACTTAGTGTGATGTTAGCTATCTTAGTGTGTTTCCAAAAGACCATGAACACAGATTCGGTCTAGCGGAGCATAACTAGAAAAGCAGTCATACTAATGTTAAGGGAATCGTGAGAAGAGGAAGATCATTGATGGAATCTCATTTATTTGTATTCACTGGTGCACTAATTATGACTTATGAGTTATGATTGTGAATACAAGAAATAATGATATATGAGATTTTGAGACTATATCAAATGTGATTTTCATGATCTAGGATACTGCATACTTTATGATCTACTTGCAGGTTTGCGCTCGACGAGAGGCTATATACTCCTAACAGATGTATAGCACTTAGCTCTCACAGTATGCTGGTCGCATGGTCTACTTCCCTGTATGAATGATTGAGGAGATGAGAATGTGTTTCTCATATTAGATGAGCACTCCCATTATGTGTGAGTGGGAGATGTAGGAAAATTGGGTCCATCCATAAGGGGTGCTTTATGGCCCAATAGGGTTATTAGTTAACCCTAAATATTCCCTATATAAGTACACTTAGTGTGTACATTAAAAAAAAACTCTGCAGTATTTTTCTACGCTCTTCTCTCTCAATTTCGGCTAGGGTTTATAAGTACACTTAATATTCCCTATATAAGTACACTTAGTGTGTACATTAAAAAAAAACTCTGCAGTATTTTTCTACGCTCTTCTCTCTCAATTTCGGCTAGGGTTTAGGCTGTGGAATTGGGGGTTGCTCCAACACACCGTGACAACAACCGCCGACCAGTAATTCCAGCCACGGTTCATCCGTTTTCGCTTCCGCTTCACGAAGAACAAGTAAGTTCTCGTTTTACGATTTACGCGCTATCTAATGTGTTTAGATTATCGAGTGTTCCTTCAGGGGTGATGTAGGCTGCCAAGTGAATTTGATCCCACTAGTGTTAAATTATACTTCCAGGACATCATCACATCCTAAGAGAGTTGTTAACTATCACAGTTGAGCATATTTTCAATGCTATTTGCTGTTACTTTCATTCAAGGAATGAGCTCAATGCCTACTTACGCTTGGACTCTTCCGATGTTTCACTGCGATGGATGGTGCCTTATTTGGGGCTTGGCTGCACTTGGTGGCACTAATGTTTGCCTTATGCTTATGCGCGTCTCTCCAAAAGTGGTATCCCAAAATATATCCCTTTACAAGATCACTATATGAGTGGAGCACCAACAGTCTTGAATATGAAAGCAAATTCACCACCAAGTGACAGAAAGCCGCTTCCTCACAAGGTACAGGTGGTTCATCACCGCCTACGCAAACCATTGCCAAGATTGAGGAGTTGGTATTCGGAGTATCTCATTTATATGGACTGACAGAGACTGGTCCGAGTACATCTTGCTTCAGGAACGATTAACTCTGAAAGCAAGGCAAGGAGTGCAGTGCTTCTCTTGTCACAATGGCAAGGGCAAAGGTGCCAAATGACAACGGGCGAACTTATGTTGGAGGGAATACTGTAATGAGTGGATACTTGGAAGATGTTAAGCAACAGAAAAAGCCTTTAGAGGAGGATGGTTCCATAGTGGTGATATTGCTGTAAGACATTAGCTGAAAATATCAGGACGCGGAAAACATTAGCTGAAGTAGTTAAAAGCATGTACAACGAAGTGCATCCATCCAACGAAGCCAAAATATACTAGAAAACATTATCTAAGATTTTTTATTACTGTGGTAAAAAGTAAAAATACAATTCAGGTATGTCTCAAATTGAACACAAGTGAAACAACCCAAAGTTGTTTGCGTGAGAGCTATATCTAGTAGAAGCTGTCAAATTCCCTGGGGCAACAGCAGTTGCTGAGTTATTTTAGTTCTGTAACCCCGCCCCCAATTTAATGATGCCAACCCAATTACAGATGTCACATAAAGTTAGTAAAAACTATACATGCCCTTTCCTATTATTGGGTCTGCACAAGAAGAAAATGAGCGGGCTCACATTTTGCTACATGACCGAATTTTGATGTATTGTACTTTCTATGTACCCCGGTTAATTTCCCTGTTGCTGCCTTTTGGTGGAATCCCGCAATCAATCTTGAACACTCCCTATAAAAGCAAGGAACAAAATATTGTTAAATTAGAGAAATCTTGAGAAATTTGACAAATAAAATCAAACGATGTAGAGGTTGTAAGTACACTCACAGAAGTTGATCTTCCGAGTATTTTGTGTGCAGCTCGCACGTCTTACTCCATTGTTTAACACCATAAAGTGTGCACTGAGCTGTATAGATTGCAGCAGCAGCGATAAACGATGGTGGAAATTTAAGCATTTCATATTCCACGAGGCAAAGTTCGATCAAGAAGAACGAAAGTAGCTCAAGCTGTAAACAGGAGTACAGAGTTAGTGAATGTAACAGCCTCTAGAGTGTAAAAATCAAAAATGTCAAAATCCTCCTCTATCGCTAACCTTTTTATCCGATTGAGCAGCTTTGAGAAATCTTCTCATAAAAACAAATGGAGTTGGAACTGACATATTAAACTGCAGCGTATTGAGCATCAATTTTTCCTGCAGGAATGGAAGACATCTTTAATAAGAATTTGAAAGCAGATAAAATGCAGGAATAGTTAATATCGATAGGAAGTCGTTATAGCTACCATTTCAAGAACCTCCTTCCTTGTGTATGCTTTGTCCGAAATGACCACCAAATCATCCACCACAGGGAGAGAAACTTCCTCATATTTGCACGCTAGTAACATAGCGACGAGACCAACAAGCTGCAACTTCTTTCTCACAACGGATTGTTTCTCCAGAAATCTATCTATCAAATTAACAGTTAGGAATAATGTCTCTTCCCTGAGATCAAACTTGTGGTGTACCTGTTTCATTTAGTACAAGCAATTATTAGAACTATTTAGAAACTTCATTCTGCACTCTCCTATTACTTCAATTGGGATTAAGAATTTAAGTACCTCAATGAGCCAATCTATTAGTATAGATCTCATCCTCTCGTTGATATCAAACTGTTGTCCTATATAGTCTGGCGATATACGGCTGCAGCCCTGAATATGGTGACAGTTATTTAGTCACATGAAAAGGCATGTAATTGTTGTGAAACTCTAAAATCAAGATGCTACTTTGATCAAGTGTTATTTCCTTCAGAAACCAAATTCTTTAAACTTAAAAGACTGCAAGTAGTTCTGTCCATCGAAAAAATCAGAACTGTTGTCCTATTTTTATCCTATCTGCACATTGTGATTTTTCGACGAAGGGAATTCAATTGAACCCCTTTCAGATATTGTGGATACGCGCCATACAATAAATACCAAATTATTACTTTGATCTGAGCAACTGAGTTTTATTCAGCTGGACTTACCTCCATTTTTGAGTAGTAAGCATACAGATCTTCCACATAGTCAACAACTGCGAGCGTGTTCTTCGCATCATTACTGTCAATATCTATCACACTGTCCTCAAATATATCCTCCATCTCAATCTCCTGGAAAAAAAATTATGAACTTATCTATTTAAAATTTTTCCAAAATTCAGCTCAAAATTCTCTTACCATTTGAGTTTTTTCCAAAGACATTGGAACTGGCTGGTCCTTTGCTGCTGCCTCATATTCTTCCACATCTATTATAGCTACATCCTCATATACACTTAAACCTTCAGCTGCTATTTTTGGTTTCTTGTTTTCCTATTAAACATTTATGTAAATATGTAAACTACACGAAAATCCAAAGAACGCGAGTAACAAAAACAACAACAAGAAACTCAGTGAATTCCCACAAGAGGGGTCTAGGGAAGTAAGATCTACGCAGCATTACCCCTCCCCTGGAAGGGCAGAGAAGTTGTTTTCGAAAGACGCTCGGCAAAATCAAATAAAGAGAGTGTCCATTTTTTTTTTGGCTCCATGAAATTATGAGTTGTACCTCAGGATAATGCTGCTTTGAGTTAGCAATTTGTGCAGCAAATTTCCTACATTTCAAGAATTTATATTTACATGTCAAATTTGAAGAAAATAGTTCTAAATAAATGAAACAAAAAGTTTGGAAATTTGACTATATATCTAACCTTGTAATAGGTCTATGAGCTGGAACAGGAGGATTCTTGTTACAGATCCCATTAGCACTGAGATCAAGAAAATATTTAAAAAAAAAAATCAGCTAAGAATAACAAAACTAAAAAAAACCAAAATAGAAAATTGTCAAAAGATTATGAGAAAAATAAATAAAGATTAGAGTTGGGAATTTACTTAGATAATCCTCTCTTATTAACAACACAAGGGTATGGCTTAGCTCCAACAAAATTCTGATTAATCACACTTAATGCTCTTCTGTTGTTCCTTGTCTCCACTCCAAACTTTCTGTAACCCAATTCTGCCCCACCTAAAAATTAAAAGAGAAATTTTTTCAAAAATCCATCTTCAAGAAATTGGTAATAATAATCTTTAGCTGATTTTAACCTCTTAAAACCCAAAAAGATGAAAGAAAAAAAAAAAAGATCAATAGAGCCACATTTTCAAAATTAAATATTTTCATAAACCCATCTTCAAGAAAATTGGTAATAATATATTTGAGCTGATTTTAACCTCTTAAAACCCAAAAAAATTAAGAAAAAAAAAGACCAATAGAGCCACATTTTAAAAATCAAAACTTTTCAAAAACCCATCTTCAAGAAATTGGTATATAACTAATTTTAAGCTCAAAAAATTGAAAAAATGACTATTTTGAGCTACATTACCTTGCACATTTCTGGGTTTAATCATAGTAGGATTGTTCTCATTAGATACACCCATTATTCTTTTTCTTGGTTTTTTCTTAAAGAATCAAAAATAAAGAAAAAAATAAAGCTATCTTTTTTCTTCAGTACTAAACTTATAAAAAGCTCTCAGAAAACTGAGAGCAATTAAAAAAACCAAGAACCAATTAATGAAGAAGAGAGTGGAGATGGGATTGAGAGAAAAACAATTAATGGGTATTTGTGTAAGGGGAGGAATAGAGAGGTTTTTATTTAAATGAAACGGCTAGTAAGTGAGAAAAAAAAAGGCCGTTAGATTCAGAGCGTGTGAACTAACTTTTTATTACTAGTATATGATATGGTCATAACGGTCACATTGGTTTGGACTTTTTGCATGTGAGGGTAAGGAGACGTTGCTTTCAAATGAATTTAATTGTTTTTTGCATGGGTTGGGTTTTGCACTTTTAGGGACAGACATTAAAGTTAGAGGTCATAGTCAATTGTTTCATTGAGATATGCGCTCTTACTCACTTTTGAGTTTTTGGTAATAGTTTAAGAGGCGGTGCACTAAGATTTCGTTATGCCGGATTATAAAGGTTTATTGTACGCAGTCTTATTCTACATTTTTACAAGAAACTGTTTTTACGGCTCTAACTCGTAATCTCCTGGTCACATGACAGCAAGGCTTCTCTTCTTTTTGGTAATAGTTTAACTTGTGCAAAATTTTATAAGATTAGTGGTTATTTTTGTTATACACTATTATTTTACCCTGTTTACGTTTTTGTGTACTAAGACTATAAAGAATCTTTTATGTTAGGTTACGTTGACTTATAATAACTGGTAATTTATCATATCAAACTTGATATATAGCCCGTTTGGCCAAGCTGCAAAAATTAGTTTATTTTGAGGAGTATTTTTTTTGAAAGTGCTTTTGGTGAAAAGCAGTTTGTGTTTGGCTAATTAATTTGAAAAGCATTTCTGAGCAGCAATTAGTGTTTGGCCAAGCTTTAAAAAACTACTTCTAAGTGTATTTTTCTCAAAAGTGCTTTTCAGAAAAGTGTTTTTGGAGAGAAGTACTTTTTTCTGCTTCTCCTCAAAAGTACTTTTTTTCTTTTCAAAACTTGGCCAAACACCTTAATTTTAGAAAAAAAAAGCACTTTTAACCAAAAAAAAGTATTTTTGCCTCAAAAGAAGCTTGGCCAAACAGGCTAATAGTAAGCTAATATAAAAGTTCTAACGTATCCAATGAAGTACTAATGAAGTCAACTTGGGTACTTGTTATTGCTAACAACCACAAATTTCATGCAGATTTGAAGGCACTTAGTGTTTTTATATCAAACTAACAGATGCATGATACGTGTTTGCACATAAATTTATACACTACAACATTTTAGGCCTAAGGCCACACTAATATAGACAACGCTTAAAGAGTGTTGCCAAAACCATGTATGGGCACGTTTATCATGGGGTGGTCTTTGTGGAAAGCTTTTGGCCACGGAATTTAGGAAACACTTAAAAAGTGTGCCTCTTAAATATAAAGACTACACAATTTAAGCGTTGTAAAATCATAAAACTTTTGGCAACACTTATTCACTCATACTACAACGCTTTTGAAGCGTTTCTATTTTTTTAATGCTGAGACTATACTTTGCAAGTGTGCTCTTAAATTTTTCAATAAAATTTTAAAATTTTCACCAAAAGTGTACCCGGGGAAATCAATTTCAAATTGCCTTTCTCCATTCATCCTCCGCTAAATGTCCATCAATTAGGTTACAAAAAGAAAAAAGAATCTCCATCAATTAGGCAATAGGCTAGCCCTATTGAAAAGTTTTTTCATATTTTCATCTCCCTTTCATTTTTCATTAGTGTTTCAATTTCTTCAATTCCTTGCTTTAGTTTCGTGGAAACCTTTGGAAATTTATAGATCCCAAAACTCTTACACACAGCGGCAGACTTCTACGGTATGGAAAGATTGAGCCGCCGAAGGAGCTGATGGAAAGAATGGGTATCGCGGAGAAATATGTCAAAGCAAGTCCCTCTACTATACCGAAATAGATCTTTGTATGTGCTTGTATCTCTTTACCACTATACTAAATTTCATCCCTTTTTGGTGTTTTCCTTTCAGTAGTTAATAAGCATTTGGGTAGTACATCAGATTATCATATCTCCAAGGGCACAATTGATAACCATCACTGTCGAATAACCCTAACTCTGACAATTATTCTGCTTAAATAATTTTTACTTCATTTATTGTGGCAAAAATGAAAGGAGAAAGTCAAAATGATGAAAGCTCCAACAGGTGATTACATTTACAGGGATGACTTGAGCGTGACCCGGCTAGCTACTTTCACAACCTTCGTGATTAAACTAAGTGATTTGTATAAAGGTCTATTAGCTTAGTTCTTGGTAGTTTTCCTTTTCTTGTCACAATGAGCTCTTGCTAGGCCATCATCTGGTATGCTACATAACGTGGTTTTTCAATTCACCAAGTTTAGACCTTATTCATGTTTTGTTCTTTTGATATCGATTCTCGCATACAATTTTAATCTAATATTTAGCCAAAAAATGTTTTTAAGTATATTTCCAAAGCTATAACATTACTCTAACTATTTAGAGAAATTAATATGAAACTCAGTTGCACAATAAGTGAATCCAATTCTTGCTAGCCGTGGATTTGACTAATTTCAATATTCTTTAAGTTAATTATTTTAGTTGAAATATCTCCTTTTTACAATAATGTTATTAGAATATCCTTTTACAGCCTAAGGCTGAATCCAAATATAACTCTTGCACCTTTAATATTAGTGTAGTCAAAACAGTTAGAAGTTTAGTTTAGTCTCTTTTTCAGTAGAGTTTTGCGATGTTGTTGCTAAATAAGATTTTCTCTGAATGGTGAATAGATGAACAAAAGGATTATTGCTGAAGGATTATCTTTCATTCAAGTGAAATATTATTCATTTAGTGAAAATATAATTGACAACATTTACGAATATACTTTTCGTGTTTCCTTCCAATATATAAACTATATATATTAGTTAAGGATTGTCTTTTTTGTTCTTATATGAATATACTATCAACTGTAGTGAGTGATGATAGATATCATGAATGTTGATTGTTCTTATTATTCATATATGTGGATGCCCCTTTTTTCACCAGGCAAACATACATACATATATATATATATATATATATATATTGATTGTTCTTATTATTCACATATGTGGAGGCGCCTCTTTCCACAAACATATAGGTACTGATTGTTCTCTAAGTGTTGCTTCTTAAATTACCTTGTACCTGTTATATCTTGAGATTGCATATGAATACGATATATCTGCCGTTTTAAGTTTCTAGAAGCTAATGTTTTTCCTTTCTTTAGTGTTGTTCAGTTTATTATTTGATTTCTTCGTTAGTATTATTTTCATTCATTATCTCTTAATTGCTTAATTAATGTTATTACTGCCCAAATGATCATAAACTTTTGTTTTTCATTAACTCTTTGCTTAATTAATGTTATTATTGCCCAAATGATCATAATTTTTTTTTCTGAAAATTCATATTTGCTACACTTGTTGTTATGAAACGAACTCTTGCTTAGATTCAGTTATTTTCTGTGAAGGAAGAAATGCAAGACATGAAGGAAGAAGTGCAGGAACTGGAACAATTGTGGCATCTTGTTAATGTATTAGTGCAACCAACCTTGGACTGAACATTTAGGATATAGCAAGGTGTGTCGAATCTATCCTACCTTCTCCGGTTGATTCAAGTAGTGCACGTGTTATGAGAAGCCACAATCTTCAACATTTCTCAGGTCAACTTCTGTTCTGATTTGTGAAAAGGTAAATTTTGATTGTTTTGAAGTTATTCTCTAAGTATCTAGGGAGCAAACATGTTAAGGTAGCATATAGTTGTATTACTATATATTTGGGTTTGAAACTATGAATATTTGCACAATGGTGGATTAGTGTTAACTTTACAAGCATATATTCTTCATTTGACCGGTATGTTTAGGCTTTAGCGAGGCTCGAGTAGCAGAAAAAGTACTTGAATAAAGGATTGTATCAACTCCGTGAAAATCTGAATAATCGGGAAAACGATCCATTCCCCTTTCTAAGAGGACTAGGATCTTAAGTTGTTTTGCCTTTTCCCCTCCCTTGTTCATACATTATTATCCAGGGGGCACCTATACAAAAAGCTTAGTATGCATAATTTTCAGAAACTCCTATATGATTTTTAAGTGAAAAAGTAAACACAAGCAAACTCCGCAGTAAGATCTCAAGGGAATGTGACTAATAGAACATTTGGGAATATAATCGTTCCTATTTTTTCTTTCCAACCCTCATTTCATTTGATCGGATGCTTGATCATCCAATGTGCTACCTTTCGTTTTTGTTTTAACTTTTTTCTTTTCTTGAAGAAGTCTTTTTCTTGTGATTAGGCGCCAAAGAATTTTAACACTATCTGAACAAGGAAGATAGGTTAGTGTTTCAAGCACCCGAGATGTTAACAAGCAACTTTATACCATATTGCATTAAAGCTCTTTTCTAACATGATTAATCATCTGAATTTCCAGATGGGAGCCATATTGTTGATTCAGCGTAGTATACTAAATATTAACCATATTACAGATTGCAATATGATATTACATACTTATATTCTCTTTAATTGTTAATTTTATTTTGATTGTGTAGGAAAATGCGGGTGATGCAAATTGAAATGGTGACCACAATTATGAAGTCAATGATCAAGGCTTTTTGAACAATTGTGATGTTTATTATTCATGCCTTCATGATACTATATGAACACGTTCTTTTTTTTGTAGAGTTCATTACTAATGCACATCTTGAAGCATTGCGTTATTAGAACGCATACTATATATGATATGTCTTTTTCGAAGTCTGTTGTAAGTTTAGCTAATATGTTATTTATGAGCTACTGTAATGCTTTAGATCATTAACATAGGATAATAATGTATATTCTTGAAATAAATTTGATTATAGCATCAACCACAAAATAATGGCTTGTACAAATTATTTTTAAAAATGTTTATAACTTAGAGCACGCTTCAAAAGTGTGCCATATGGACTGTCGAGTCTGTGGCCTATTGATTGTAAAATGGCAGATAAGCTACGCTTCACAAGTGTTGCTCTAACAGCCACGCTTCAAAAGTGTGGCTTATAGGTAACAGAGGCCACACTTTAAAAGTGTAGTTTTAGGCTTGAAAAACGTCGCCATATGAGGTAATACAAAACGTGGCATTTGTACCTAATAGGCCACACTTTTGAAGCGTAGCATCTAAAACAACACTTGAAAAGTGTGGCCTTAGGGAAAAGGTTACGCTCATTTAGGCCACCCCTAGAAAAGCGTTGCCTAATGTTAAAAAGTGTGGTCTTTGATCAAATGCCACACTTTTGATAGTTCAGGCCACACTTTTTGAAAGTGGCGAAAGGCTTAAAATGGTGTAGTGATAGTTGCTGACTTAATGTATCCCATGATCTGAGGGTGAGCTACTAATGAAGAGGAAAGGAAGACGACATTTACCTGAGCTGGGTAATGACGATTTGCTTTATGGATATTGATGCCTAAATTCTTATAAATAGGGATACGAAACCCTTTGCCTTATTCTTTGCAATCTAGATATTGAATCTCCATACCTTCTTTTTCCTTCTTCATTCAGAGTTCTTTTTCCCTTGATCTTACTTCCGTATTTGTGCTTTCACTGATTCTGTTGACTTCTGCTACTCATGACTCTTCTGTGCTTACATCTCCTCTATACATAAACAAAGATGGTCAATGTGTCTTCCAGTTCCAGGGGGTACCTGACCCTGTTCCTTGGCAGTGCGCCTCCTCATGACGATGGGCTTGCCATTGTTGCTGAAGATGAGAGATTTCCTACGGTGGAGGAAATAATCCCCCGTAGTGAGAAGGCTAGATTTGACTTTTCAAAGATGCCCAAGGACGACCCTGAGGTCTCGGAGTTGTTGATGAAAGAGGTGGGCCTTGCCGAACTTAGGGATAAATTCAAAATTCCTGCCCACATAGATCTAGTTCCAGCCGGGCGCAACGTGGTGCAAATACACCGCCCTGGATACTGCGCTTTTTACGCGTACCCTATATATACAGTGTAATTTTCGACGAGTTGACCACCCTTACGGATATGTACCTTCGCCCCTAGTTTCCGGGCACTCATTCCTTGTACCTAGGGAACTGATTCATAAGGAAGGGGATCTTCACCAGAAAAGGAGTTTACGGCCAGTTCCCATATAAAAACTACTTAATCATAGTTAATTAAGATATATTCTTGTATTATTAAATTATTTAACTATAATAAGTTGATATGATTTTGGTGTAAATATGTATTTCTTCATCGTATAGCTTCTGAAGTAATAGTATTTTTTTGAGGCTGTGCGAACGTAACGGATAGATTGCTAATAAAGATGCTCTTGAAGTTTTAGATCGAGTCACAAATTCAAATGTAAACATTAAATAAGCTTTAAGAAGTCGTGTATTCACAAATTGATTTAGAAGAATAAATTAATATTAGGGAAGAAATGGATAAACTATGATTAGCAATTGGCTGATCTTCTAATTGACAAATATAGACACTAAAAAATACGGTAAGAATTTATTTCCATCAAGCGTTTACAAGATTTATGAATAGCATTTGTATATAGGCTTATTTTACTTAACTACAATTAGTTAATATGCACTCTCATCTTATTAAATGTCTTAACCATGATAATCTGATATGATTTATAAACACTTGATAATTTGCGAGAATGAAATTGAAAGTCTAATGTTCTAATAATTTATAGCAAGAAGGGAAAACAAGTACAGGAAAAAAAAATATTGCACCTGATATTTAGACCAAGCAAATAAATATGGTATATGTATCTTGCATATAAATTTTCATCACTTAATTATGATTGTTTTTACACTTTTATTTGTGATTCTTATAATTAAATTGTTTGATTTGGTATAAACTTCAAATACAGTTAAATAAAATAATAATTACAATACCTATACAATAAATAAACGACTACTACTAATATGCTTCAATCTCAAACAAGTTAGAATTAATCATAAATTTTTAGATGATATCGCTTCATTAAACCTCATCTCAGGCTAATACAATACAAAATAAAAAATAGAAAAGCCAAAAGTTAAAACCTCACTCTCTGTCTTTGTTCTGCACATCTGCAACTGCAAGTGATTTTGAATTTAAATTACTGCTTATATACATTCCTACAACTTTTATGTAAAATATATATAATTAATGATTGTAGCAGGCTAGGAGGCATGTTTCCGACATTTTTACATTTTAATAATTGCTCTCTTTTGCTGGCACTTGTCAGGCATTTAAGTTCTTATGTAAAGATTATTCCAGAGAGACAGGAAACTTCCTTATGCTTTTTCTAAAATTCATTATTATTATTATTATTATTGTTATTGTTATTATTATTAGGCAACCCTGCTATAGAGATGTTAACAACAATAATAACATATTCAGTGTAATACTATAATTCCACAAGTGAGGTAGATGAGGGTAATGTGTACGCAGATCTTATCCTTACCTTGTGAAGATAGAAAAGCTATTTCCGATAGACCCTCGGCTCAAGGAAAGCATAATTACAACAATTTAGAAAAAGGAATACGATAGTAAAGAAGCCATGAAAAAGGAAGCATTAACAACAGCCTAAGTTGCTCCGACACGGCAATTTAGGTGTCGCACCCGTGTCGACACGACACTAGTATGGGTGTGGGTATGGGATCCGTACCGGATCTGCTCAAATAATTTTGGATACTTTGACCACGACAGACGAAAAAATTCTAGACGAGATACAATTTGATTCCCGAAATCAAAAAAAAGACTAGAGTAAATTTGAAGAAAATAACATACTTTATCTAGGAAATCAAACCTTTATTTATCTAGAACTTCAGAATAAAAAAGAAAATCCATACTTTACAAGCTATACGTAAGTATTCCACAAAATTTCTCATAATTTAGAGATATTTTTATATTTTTAGCCGGATCCCTACCCGTATCCGTACTAGGATCCCTATCCCCCAATCTTAGAATTTACATCTCGAAGGATCCGACCTCTAGATCCGTACACGTATCGGACACCCGCACTCATGTCCAAGCAACTTAGACAACAGCAAGATAATAAGAAAATCGAAGCAGAAGAAATATCAGGTATTAATAGAAATCTAATAATAGGGAAATACAAGAATAATACTAGTACTACTGATAAGAAAAAAAAATACACTCAGACTACCTACTAATCTTCTACCCTAATTTTCGACATCCACACACTTCCTATTGAGATGTTAATATTACCATATTGTTCTGAGCTCAAAATCTTAAACAAATTAGTTTCCATGTCTTTATAAAAACAGGAAAAAGAGGATATTTCAGGCAATTACCACTCGCCATCCATTTGTTCACATTTCTAATACTCCTTCATTTTATGCGTTCCAATTCATATGGCAATATTTGACTAAATTCATAATTTACCATGTCTAATTAATTGAAGTCGTAATTTACATGTTAATTTCACTTCTATATTTATGATTGTGGAAGAAAATATTGAAGTAATAGTTGAAAACTTTATTCACATCAAAGTTAACAATTTGAATAGTTTAATGGATTTGAATTCTAAAAAGTTGTGAAATTATATTTAGAAATAAGTCATATAAATCACAAAGGAAGAAGTAGCAGATAGTCTCAAATATCTCCAAATCTTCTTTCTTTCAAGTAATTTTTTTCACTTTTACTTTGGCATAAATAAAAGGGTGATATTTATCAAGGTAATATAAAGTACAAATTACATTGTTGTAGCCAATTGATAAACTATTTCAATGTCACAAAATGGCAATAATAACCTATGAACTCGGTCTATTGCCATGTACCTGGATTTAGTTTCTATTAAAATGGATTAACCACAAGCTAAAATACAGATTGCCAAGTTTACTCTTGCTACTTGAAGAATATCTATCTAATTTACAATAAACAGAATTTGATTCACCTAAAAAGAGCTGAAAGCGTCCGTTCGCTAGCTTTCCGTTTGCCCTTCTCAGCTGAAGCCAAATTCTTCCCCTGAGAATTGTGATTTTTACTATCAAACTTCTCATTTACTTCTTCAATACTATGTTCATGCAAGGAATCATGCTTCTTTGTGTACTTGTGATCTTTAATAGCCACATCTTTCATCAAAAGATTCAAATGGTTAATAGATGTCTTCTGTGAATTCACATCATCCTTTTTCTCCTTTCCTGTTGCATCACAACAGTGTAGTTTCACCTCTTCCAGCAGCATCCTTATTTCATCCTTAAACAACTGTGTACGCGTACCCTTAATTTTCTTCTTAGTTACAGTATCCCCTCTATCCAGTTCTTGACTAAGAAAATCTGTATCATCAATCAAATCTTGCTTCTTGAGAGCCATCTCCTCAGAGCGCTCAGCAGAAACGATCTTCTGCTTCTTGGTTATTGCCTCCACTAAATCACTGCATCCCTTCTGATTTAACTTTTGCTTCTCAATTCTGTTGTGTTGCAATTCATAATTTTCATCAAGATCACTATCTTCTTCAGACACATGCTCTGGCTTCATTAGCTCCACATTTCCATGTAAAGTCTCCTGTTGACCATCACCTTCAAGCAGGACATGTTTCTCCGTTTCGATCACTTCAACACCTGTGGAGACTCCAGGAACTATGGTATCAAGGATGATTTTGCCGAGAAGGAACCTTGTCTCACGCACGTGTCCTTTCCCAAGAGAATCGTAATCTATCTTGAAATTCTTCTTACTGGTTTTGAAAGATGTAACATCTTTGACCAGAATGTCAAACATAAGCTCGACATCTTTGCCCATTCTCATTGACACAAAGACCTGCAAACCAGACATCCAAAAACTCATTAAGCTAACAAAAGAGCAATTACCATTCTTGTAGCCGATTAAACACTTTTCAAGTAAGAGGACACGAGAATTAAAGTCTACTGGATCTGGTTCTCCTTTTTCTTCCCATTTTGTATTCAAATCAAGAAAAATCATGACTATATATACATATATAGGATTTACTATATGGACAAGCTGAGCTGGTTTCCCAATGAATTTATTAGGTCCGTTTATGATGGAGAGGCAAGCTATAGCATTTATTCCAAGTGAACTAAGTCTTAAGTTTCCACAAAAGGTAGATGCAAGATACCATGTTGTTTACGAAGTAAATGAACACCGTTACATCAGGTTCAGAGAAACAGGGGATAATCACCTCCTTGTGAGTATAATGAGCTACGCTCTCAAGGTTAGGAAATCGTTGATGCATGCCTTTAAATAAAGAGCTATTTCAAAATGTACTTAATCCTTTCCTGTCCATAGCACGCACTGCAAAAAGGTTTAGAAAGAGTCTTTGTCTTGTTGTATGAAGCAATTAAGTAATTCAAGGCAAGTATTACGAAATGGTTGACTTTTTCTCTAGGGAAATCATCTACCTCCACCTCTAGACCCTACAATGTCGGTCCTATCGTTTCATAATGACTAGGTTACCACAGATTAACAAAAAGACTTGACCAAGAGATTATAAGTCATAGATATTCAAGTCATTCACCCATTCCCTGCTGATAATGGAAACCAACAGGAAACATTGTTTCGCAAACACAGGCATTCTTAGAAACTGGAGCGTTCTCCCCTCCACATTTTATATGACAAGGCTGCTACTTGAGAGACAACTGGACTAACTCTCTGATCAAAAGCTGATTTAATCATTTATCAACAGAAAATTCCAGATGGAATTATATATCAGACATTTTTCACATATTACTATTGAAAGAGGATTAACGCAGCTTCTACTTTCAGATAGAAAATTAGCCTATTTGACTCTTGGATGAACAGCATGAACTAGCTGGGAACTCTCATAAAAGTCAAGCATAACCGCATAGCGTGCTCAAATAAAGTGAAATGACAAGACTGACAAACCAGCTTGGTGTAAGCAACAGTTAGATGTAAAAATCAAAGTACGTTTACCCACCAAACCAGAGCATGGGGCTCCTGGGAACTTGGACATTGCTTCCAGGAGGCTGTCCCCGTCAGTTAAAATGTTTATAGATTTTTGGACTTGCACTGCCAGCTGTGCAAGTCTTTCTGCAAGTTCATCATCTGAAATGGAGACTTGAGAATCAGAGACTTCAGGTGCATACATAGCTGCAGCTTCAGAATGCTTCTCTGCAAATTTAACACCTTCCTTCCAATTTCCGTGATACAATACAGAAGCAAAAGTCAGGATGACAAGTGCATGTTGAGGATGAGTGATCAATGCCAGATGAAACGCCAAGAGTGCAACCCTGTCATGCACATCATTGAAAAGAAAACATTCGTCAAGTATCAAAGTCATAACAAGCCAGTTCTCACAACACTTGTGCAGGTTAACAATTCATCTAATAGACGACTGTCAAAAAAGTGATAGTAAAGTGATCAAAAGAGTAGTAAAATCCACTACTGCGACAGTAGGCAGCCAGACTATGAGCTGCAACATCTGCTGTGAAATAGAGTTAGAAACATGACTCCGAAGAATTTGCATGCAGACTGCAGCATATGAGAAAAATTGAACTATGGGATACTCAAGAGTAAACGTGTCAAACAACGAATCTACCATGATGAACATGCAGCATGTAGAAATTTCTTCAAATCTGTAAATGTTTAAAATGCCTCTAATTTGCAATTTAAAAAACAAATAATGAAGGAGCGACATAGTGATGATGCCAACTTAGGCTTTTAAAGTCGGGAAGGATGCTTCTAATGGCAGTGTCCAGAAATTAAAATCAAAATATGACAAAGACAGAGGAAGATGCTTGTTTTTTCTGTTCACAGTGCTGCATTACCTCCTCACTATGGAAATTCAGTAGTAGAAGAAGCTTCTATGACTCCTTTACAGCATTTAATATTGTTGTCCTGTGGAGACCTTCTAATACCCTTCTCTCTTACCTTTTTGGTGTTAGCTTCTTCTTTTTTTTTTTGTGGTTTAGGATGTCTTGTTTAAGCTTTCACGTGGCTAATGCCATTTGTTATTTACATGGATCAGGCGAAATTCAAAGTAGTTCCTACGGTTAGGGAGCTTACACTTGTCCTCCCTTTGCGAAATTCAAAGTAGAAGAAGCTTCTATGACTCCTTTACAGCATTTAATATTGTTGTCCTGTGGAGACCTTCTAATACCCTTCTCTCTTACCTTTTTGGTGTTAGCTTCTTCTTTTTTTTTTTTTGTGGTTTAGGATGTCTTGTTTAAGCTTTCACGTGGCTAATGCCATTTGTTATTTACATGGATCAGGCGAAATTCAAAGTAGTTCCTACGGTTAGGGAGCTTACACTTGTCCTCCCTTTGCCAAGGAATAGCCATATAATTTCAGTGACTCGATGATTAGGATTGAAAACTTGTTTAGTTCTTTTTTTTTCATCGGAACTTGTTTAGTTCAAAGCATACAAAGATTAAGTATGACTACTCGTTTAGTTCGAAGCATACATAACAATCAAAAGAGAAGACTGCAAGGTCCACTCTTAGCTTAACAGGAGCAGGGTTTCAGCTTAGTCAATTTCAGAAATTCTTCCTATCCACATCAGCACTTGAGACCAAGCTAACATAATAGCTCTGTTATACTGCTGCAAGGTACTATGATAGAGTTAATGGACCTTCTAATTAGACAAGTCTAGAGAGCAACATATATCAAATTACAGCTCTGAAAGCAGCAGTAGATGCAATAATATCCAAAGATGAAGACCATCTCTCTCAGGCCTCAGGGAGGAAGTGTCAGTAAAAGGACAGAGAGGGGTCCTAGAAGCAAAAGCCTCGTGGAGATAAAAGAATTAGGGGTGGCAAATGGGCGGGTCAAGATGGGTTAGGTCAATAAATGGGTCATTGTCCAACCCAGCCCAAAGCGAACTTGGGCTAAGACGGGCTGGTCAAGATGGGCTAAAAAATGGGTCATAGCCCAACCCGTCCAACTTGACCCATGTTTTAGAACCATGCTCATCTTGCATAAACAAAGCCTTTTACCTTAAAATGTGTAAGTTGAAAAAAAAAATTAGGGAGGGTAGGGGTGGGTGGGTGGGGGGTTTGGGCGGGTGAATGATGCAGAAAAATAAAAAAAACTAGAAAATTAAAAATTA